CTTCCGTGTCGTTGACACAGGGCTCATGAGCACGGAAGTCGTTTTGTCCCAACGAACCCAGTTGCAGTGTCTAGCGGACACGCAAGCCTCGTTGAGGCAATAATCGGTTGGAACTGTAAATGTTATTAATCTTAATGGGGGAGGGTGTAACGGGGTTACACGTACCCTGGTAACAGGGGTGTACGGTACGGGACTAGGTAGCCAGTAGTTATGCACGTATTTAGGTTTTATTATATATATTTAGTATATCTAGGAAAATCTAAACTTTTAAAATTAAAATAAAAAACTAAATAAAAATCAGTTTTGGATTTTGCACGGAAGAGCTAATTAGCCTTGGGTAAGGCAATCATTACTCTTGGAGTGAGGGGATTGCGATCCGCTAACTCGTACTTGTTCTAAATATAAAACGAAAGGTCGGTGACCTAAATTACGCTTCCTCAAGCGATAAGCTACGGCAGCCCCGCTGCAGCCTTGGGTTAAGACTATAATTACCCTTGGAGTAAGCGAATTGCGATCCGCTAAACTCTTTCTTGTTCTGTGTATAGAACGAGAGGTCGGTGACCTAACTTACGCTTCCTCAAAGCGCAAAGTTACGGCAGCCACGCTGCTAGACTTGCGGGGTATTGGGGTAATCACTTTCGTGATTTCTCGTTTTTCTTCAACGCGGCTGTTTGGATTTTCGGTAATCACTATCGAAAAGTATTAATTTGCCACCTTTCGATGATGGATGACTCATATCAACTTTTTGTTTTCAAGTCAATGTATGTCTGTATCATCTTCTTTCGTTTCACGAAAATCGTGGATCCTCGCAGGAATCGTTGTCGTCATATCCTATCAAGTCCGTGCGATGCCAAAGGATAATCTCTTTTGGCTAAAGAAAAAACCTTCCTGCATATGGAAATACGCTAACTGGTCAATGTCAACGACTTTTCACAAAAAACAGATTCGCGGCGTTTGTCCCAATGCTGCCAAGACCGCATCGAGACGTGCGACCAACACGCAAAGGGTGATGTTTATTTAAGTGAATTACTTCCACTGACAGCGCTGTACCTTTTGCTGCCCATCACCCACGAACAAGTGGGCATATTTTCGCTTACCTTCATTTTTGACCAGTTTGTGTGATATTTATATTTTCCCAGAATTTTCGCTTTCACAAAAAATACCGATACAACTCTTCCACGCATTAGAAGCAAAGTAATCTTTATTTAGTTACGATAACAAGTATATCTAGGTCTATGGATCTAAAATCAGAATGAGATAGATGAGATTGTACACGGTTAATCCTACAATTCCTCACAATTTGAAATAAATTCGTACGAATATTAACAGCGGTAATTTAACATCACATAATACCAAGCTGGACCTTGCAGTCCTGGCAGTACCATTTGCCCGCAGGTTGGTCCATCAGTCCCACGCAGCCAAAGTGGAACCACTCGTACTTACAATCATCGTTGTCACAGCCAACCATCTGCCCGAATGACACCCGGCGGCAACTGCAATAAATAGGCTCGTTCGGGTCAATAGGCAAGTCCTCCGAAGTTAGAATCACCGGAGCAGCTGCCGCGATGGAAAGAGCTGCTGCAGTCTCTACAACTGATTTCTTTCTTGACGACGAGCTTCCACTTGTTGAAGATTTAGATATCGATGGTGTCACTGTCGTTTCCTTCCTACTATTTGGAGCTGTATTGTGCTTGCTGCGAACGTGAACATTGGGCACCGCATGACTCTGAGACGCATGATGCATTGTCGTGGTTGTCACCACCTTCTGTTTCTTGCGGTGCGGTCTACTATCCTCTTCGTACTCACCGTTAGCTTTTAAAAGAGCCGAGTAGCTTTCTAAGTCTCTATCCAAACGTCGAATATGATGATCAACAATATCATAGCTCTGAGCTGCAATGGCAATTTTTTCGTCTAGCTTTTGCACTACTGAGGCATGTTTTTCATACAGTTGTCGCACTATTCCATCACTTTCAATGATCTCTCGAAGTTCTTTTTCCGTAGCTTCACCTTTTGTAGTGTCAGCGCACCTGGCTAGCACCTTTTGTCGCGCACTTGTTAAGTATGCTTTTTGCACCGTCTTAAGTTCTTCGAGTAGCGGGTAAGACGTCTGCAACATGCGGGTTAGAGAAAACGACAGCAGTAAATGGAGTATGCGCACCTTGTCCAGTTCGCGCATGAGATCAAAGTTACGCTTGATCTCTGACGGCAGCATGTACATGCTTTCTAAATAGTCTTCCACGTACGTGCCCATTTCTTCTATGACGATAATAAAATTCTGAAAATGCTTGCAATTCGTATCGTACTTAAAGTAAGATTTAGCTAATTTGATTAATATTTAAAAGATCGCTTCTCTGCTCGCCTTGTTCAGATTTTCTTAGACTTTGATTTCTCTGCTTTTGTAGCACCATTCGTCTCAAATTTGTCCTTTTTTCTTTTAACTTTTTCCATTCTGTCCATTGCAATATCTTTTTCTACACCTTTGTCTTTTGGCTTGCTTTTGGTCTTGTCCTTCCTGTTGCTGACCGTCAAAGTTTTCTTCGTTGATAATTTACTTTTTTTCTTGCTGTCTTTTGTACCGTCAAAGGTCTTCCGCAACATCAGATCATTTTTCTTTGCAATACTGACAGCACCATTTTTAGGTTTCAATTTGCGACGCATGCGCTTCACGGCGTAGCGCTCCAAAGCAGCGCGTTTGCGGCGCTTTCGCCATTCCAATATGAACCCAATCATCAAGACCAACCCGGCACACAACAGCCCAATGATCAATCCCCATGGCAACGGTCGCGCGTATACCCAAGTGTGCTCATTTCGGCCATCCTCAAACGTCTCATCCACATTGCCGGCAGGGTCTCGAGCACGAACGCGCATGCGAAAGGTGCCTGAGCCCAACCAGCTCTCAAAACTCACTTTACCCAGCGTAAGCGTCCAGTTACGAACAACGAGCTGTTCCACTGTGTCAAGCAAATGATACTCGAAAATGCATGAGGGTTTGTCACTTTCAAACTTAAACTCCGTATCCGAGCTTCCACTCGCTGGCACTAACGTAAACTGCGTACGCGGGCGACGAGCATCGCGATACCAAACATCGTTCTCATAATAGTCAGGTGCTGTTAAGCCCCCTAAAATCAAGATTTTCTGCTTGAAGACTATACCGGCATGACCAGATCGTGCTTTAGGTCTCCACTGACAAATACTATCTTGAGCGTCGACAAAAACATCTCGTAGGACCTGAACCTGATCCACTCCACGGACGTCAGGCCAACGAAGATGACCAGTCTTTACGTCTCTTATCTTTTCACCAATTTGTGTGCAACCGTCCCAATCCGTTTCACCTTGGACTACATTCGTGAAATCAGCCGTTGCTTTCTCTGCAATATTAAACCCTTTTTGTTTTTCGAATCGTGATGATTCAACTGTGCACTGTTCGACAACAAGCTTTGCCAGCGCAATATAGTCACATATGGGCATAAGCTTGCGCAACGAAATCGTTTGATCAAACGATAGAGATGTAATGTCTTGGATTGTACGTAAACCTGCAGCACTTAAAGCACGAGCATCCGTGTCCACCATTGTTCGCAGAGCCGATACATTGCTATCAGGTCTCACATATTCGACAAAGGGGGTGTCAGATGAGTAGTCCTGGATCCAATTTGTGTCGCCTCCCTTCCAAGTCCAAACATCTTCCAGTGTTCTCTCTGCATCCTCTCCAAACATCATAACTAGTTGCTCATCTCGATCATAAGGCAAATTTTGATCGGATGCACCTGCTGGCTGCACCAGGGTGACATGTTTAGCTCGGGGTGACCATGGAGCTGCCTCGGTTACTCGATTCCACACAAGCCCAGATTTACTTACCCAGACGTCGTTAAGCAGGTCTGTTTGCGCCGATTCAGTCTGTGAAGTACCCGTCCGTCCACCAAGAATATAAAGTTGAGAATGAAATGATACCATTGAATGTTCGCCGCGAGGAGAAAACTCTGCATGTAGTGTAAGCATTTTCCAATGTCGACCATCAGTTGACATCCATATGTCATTCAAATATTCGCGATAGCCTCCACTGCACGCAAATAATTCTCCGAGTGGTTGCCGATGGCTTTCTTCATCACCACATTTTCCAGATTCGACAAGGGCGTACCCACCAGACAAATACAAAGCATCGTCCATCACAACCAAAGCGTGAAATTCACGCGGCGACCACATGTTGCACACACAAAATCTTTTTGCAGAAAATTCGTCGCCTTGACACGATGCGTCACCTTCGCACTGATCGTCATCCTCACACTGAAGATCTGTTCTTAATGTTTGGTGTGCCGACGCGATCTGAGAAAATGGACAACCGGGTGTCACGAGTTTCCACGACGATCCAGCATCACTGCTACGCCATACATCGTTTTTTAGTACAGCATATTCAAGCCAACGAGTGTTGTATGGGGCCATGGGTTCTGGTCCCGTTCCACCACGTAATTGAGACTGAGGAACTGGAATGTGTTCACGAGCGCGACCACCAAAAACAAAAAGCTCGCTGTGAAATGCTAAGGCGATAAAGTTTCGACGAGGTGAAAACATATTATCAGCTAAGTATGCGCCAGGGGGTCGAGTAGGGTCATCACATCCTGAAGGAGGATTAACAGCCCAAGCAGCAGACGCACAAGAAATCCAGTCAGTGTACGAGATACCACGAGGTGGACTCTTGCCACTATTTGTCTGCAACCACGTCACATTTGCCACAATTTGAGGTAAAGGGTCTCCCCACTTTGTTGTCTTAAGGATATTGGCCTGAACATTCCAACTCGGTCCTGTTGTACTCCACACGTCGTTGCGCATGGCACCACCTCCTGGGTACGCTCTTAAGTCTTGTCTTCCTTGAACGTTCGAATCACCTCCTAGCACAAATATCTTAGACTTATGCCCAGTCCTTCGTTCATAGTCGTCACTAAGGTCCAGAGCGGTTACTGCATGGCCATGCCGATTTGCCCAAGGCGTGATCTCACTAACGGCTGCATTAGTGTATTTTTCGCCACTGACCTGAGCCCAATTTGCTGCAGCTGAATTACGTGAGAAAAGCAACAAGAGTAAAGATGAGCCCCGTCGATGCCAAACCATTTGCTAAATTGATATCATGCAACGAAGTCATCGATTAATTCCAGCACTCGAGTGAGAAGTCCATATTTAGTTGAATGCTGTGTTTGGTTCTCGTCAGATATGATTGGCCAATAATAACGCACCATTTTGAAAAAAATTAATAAGGAAGAAAATTGACTACTCTTTCAATCATTTGAAACATCATACTTTACCCTAGTCGACTTCGCCACATCCTAGCACTGTTGTCCAACATGTTTGCCATCATGGTACTGTGCAACTTTTTAAAGCCGATGGTCTATCAGCATACCCAGAAGTCACTACATCTGCCGAGTTTTTGCTGGTTGTATAAAGGACAATTAAGTATTCATGGTTGATATCTGAGGATAAGTGGAATCAGTCTGAAAATAAATATTCTTTCGCCGCGCTGAACGGATAGATTAGGCACGTTACTATAAAATCAAACTGAACCACTTACCGATAACTTTTGTGCATGACGTCCATTGCAACCCACCGCATTCTCGATGGGTGGATACCGAAAGCAATTGCATATACTTGTTTGTACGGCAGCATGAGCGCAATGCTGCCACATCATATCGCCACTGAACAAATTAAAAAAAATCGAGAATCTGTATCAGATCTTTTTCGTACTTCTTAGTTGAAAATTACTTAGTGCCAAAGTCTCTTTGGCGGTTGTAATAATGAGCTACCTCTGGATGAAAAGGTCAATTTCAACAAGACTGTACTCGATCCTCTTACTACCAAGAATGAAAAAGAAAGCGGTCCTGGTTTTGTGAAGTAATTCACGGTATCCTTTTATCAAGTCTAGCCTTGTGGGACCTTCCGCCTTCCCGGTCACAGCGCGCGCATATGCGAGTAGCTCTGAGCTCTATGGACTAAGCAACATGCATGCGAGTCAGCTAGAAAATTTTTGCATTTTAGAACACTCACGAACCTTCTTATATGTGTTCATACCATTTGATATTGAACCTGAAGAGCTATACAGAACCATGGTGGCAAGCATGTGCCATATTTCAAAATTTTGGTAAAATCAACCAAACTGCGGCAAACAATTCCTAAACAATTTTAGAATTTGCGTGCTTCCCGGGGGAATAAACCAAACCGAAACCAAGTCTATATGAACACGCCACCCAGGCATTCGTTTCTAGGAAAAGTGTCGAAGCTTTGTGAAAGTTGCACTTGTAGGATAGGAGGTAATACCAGCAGTAGGTAAACTTAATCGACTATATTTACTTCCGCATGGTCTACATGCTTTCACTGAATGCAAACTCTTGCCACTGAATGTTCGTTTGTTGCTGCTCGGATAGATGTCTTGATCGCCACTCGCGCTTAAATAAGACTTATCATCACCTCCAGAGAATTGAGGATTATATAACTGTAAAAATGATCCAAGTCGAAATTTACGGTGATTACAATCGATGCATAACTTGTCCTCATTATGTTGACATTAGCCAATCGATTGCCCCTCCCACCAAGACAGCTTCATCCAGAAGCGATGACGAATTTATCTCCTCGTCCGGTCGTACAATGACTACTTCGGCCAAATCGCCTGCCTTCAAGACACTGCCGAACTCTTCAAGGGTAATCTCGTCCAGCTTAAGAACAGCATCTACTGCAGGCATAGCCTCGATGCAATCGTCGCCATATTTCTCCCCCGTCATACCGTTGACGAGGGTGTATAACTGTGCGCGATCGTCTACGGTAGACACACCCTGGATCAGAGTCGACGCCCGGTGTCTTGCAGCCAGCATACGGCGTCGCCGTCGCCTCTGTACAGAGGTTCTATGTCTCTGTGAGACCAG